GGTCTCATGTTGATTTTGCATCAGGGGGCAAGCTCATCGTAAGCTGAAACGTGAGTGCAAAAGTTGTAATAACGACAAGACTCATAAGATGAATCTGTGTTTCCTAGATTTCGGTAAAGGAATCTTCTTTCGACACTCCGCGTCCGGTAACTCCATTACAAAGTATGGAAGGGCACGAAACAGTGAGTTTTAGTTGAAAGCCGCTCAGTCAATGCCTAGTTTATCTTCAGAATGAAAATTCTTTCACTATAAATAGTGATGCTTCGAACTTTGTTCCACCGGTAGCTCAATCAACACCCGCTGAACCAGCCAAGAAAAAAGCAAGGTAGCTTTGGCTCAATGACACTACTTACGTTGTGAGCGTACATCCCAGGTTTGGTTCGAATGTGAAGGTGCTGAAAACATCTGGTATCACGCCTATGCCTTGTTACGAAGGCATGACTGATGAAGAGCTGAAGGTACGGAATGTTCATCTCAATGGCATAGGTATGATAGGATTTCTGTTGTTTCAGCGTGAGTTATCCAAGTTTGGCCTGAAACCTATGGGTAGGAAACGTGCAGTAAATATGCTTAGGCGCATTTATGATGAAGTACATCCAGGTAGAGCTTGAAATCTTTCACTTGGTTTTCGTTCCAACAGAGGCGGTTTCAGTGATTGACCCTGGCACTCCAACAGCTCGACCATTGCTCTCAGAAAATAAGGCTGGGACTTCGCCCCAAAAAGGGGGAAAAAAGAAGAAGGCTAGGGACAAGGCTTTGACTACCATATCCGAAGATACTGCTGCTGCGAGTTTGCCAACGTCATCCGCAGAAAATGATGCGGCACATGAAGAAGATTCAGTGGATGGTGAGTTGTCTTTGTTTTATCTTCGTTGTTTTCTCTATCCACTTACGTCAACTACAGTGGCTGGTCTGGCGGTCCGAGAGTTTATTCTAAAGAGCATTGATTGCGTGGAAGTTTCTTGAAGAAGGGGAATGACTTTGGTTACTCTTTTTATAAGTTACGAGCTGGGCTCCCCTTTTCCACCCCGGTTTGGTGTCAGTTCATCGTGCTTACCTCTATGCATCGAAAGTTACCCTACCTCTACCCTATCTTGATGACCAGCAAATCTAAATGAGCTTCAC